TCGTAAGCCACTTAAATCAACACGAACATTCGGTAGACAGATCTCATAAGCTGTTGACCAATGGAATTTGGCACGTTCAGCCGGACAGCATTTATCCTGCAACAAAAAAAAAACATTCACATCAAGAATCTGATGAAGTTCTTTTTTACTTGAACAACCATTTTTAAACAGTTTTGGATGAGAAAGATCTGGAAGGAGGAGGAGGGGGAAAAGAAAAGAACGGGGTGTCCGAAAGGAAGAAATATTTTTCGAAGTTTTTGGAAAACGTGATATTGTAAAAAACTCATTTAAAAGCTGATAGTAAAGTAAGAAATAACTAAAAAAATTAAAAACTGATATATTTTGAACCTAATAAAATCAGCGAAATTACAAGTTTCGAGTTAATTTCAAGTTTTAAAAATTAATAAAACAAAGGAAATTTTGATTTAAATTAATAAGATTTTAGCGAGCTAATAACAGTTTTAAATTATCATTAACTGAGAAAAAAGCAGCGCGTGATTATCACGCAGAGTAAAGGACATCTTTCCTTTCCTCGTTTTTTACCAAATTTTTCATTGTGCCGGTTGAGTGCAATAAGCAACACTAGTGCAAAGGTTTACTTTGTTTGTAACGACGCCTCTAAATTTCAGCTTCCTAACTCTTGGAGTTTTTGAAGTTGAATTTCGCGACAAATTCATCCACAGAACACATAGGTACAGGCACAGACAGGCACGGACGCACGTACAGACACAAACACGCAAGCTAGACATACGCTGCAAAGTCTCGCCGTAGTCCGCTTTTGAATCCTGATGTAGTGCAAAAACAAACAAAAAACGAACCTCTTCGTCAACGAAATTTTTGTAGCAGCATCGGCTAAATGCATCACCGGGTGAGTTGATTGCATCACTGTCATCTAGGCAGCATTTGTACTTGGACTGAAAAAATATGCGGAGTTAATTTTTGAGTTAAAATCAATGAAATTTTTCCAAAAAATCCCCGAGAAAATTCTCATAACTCTGTAAAATAATTCATTTATCATCAGTGATGAAAAATCATTTATCATAAAAAAAACAAAAACACGAGCGGACTTTTAACTACATAAATCTGTCTACAAAAGGCTTCAGTCCTCTCTTTCTAGTATGCATTCTTTGATGGAAAATACAGGCTGTTCCTCCAAATATCTAGAAAACCAAGACCAGCCAAGCAGTCGTATTGGAGACCCCGTGTTAGTGATGTTACTAGGATGTTCTCACATGCTGAGTGTGGCTATACCATTCTTCCGAAAACTACCTAAAATCGCCAAGATGAGAAATGGTACCAAAGATACTGGGATTCTGAGGTCGCACTTAAAAAATTAAAGTCAAAAATCCTAGTTCAAAAACAACGCTTCTTTCAGGTTCTAGAAACTCCAGTTATCGTAGTTCATTACCTATAATGTTTCCTTTATTTTTATCACTTCTAAATTCAAATTAACCTGCATAAATTTCTGCATGCAACACAGCTCCGTGGTAACATTCGTACACCGTCCCGGCATGCACATATCGGTCAAATAAATACCTTTGTTGCAACACTTATTCATTTTATCATTACCCATTGCTTTCTTCTGCAAAATAAAACAGTCCGGGAAAGGAAAAAATTTGGAAAAATAAGTTTTTTATGAATCACACCAAGTAACCTTTCATTGACCACCTCTAGACCTCTATTCATTGATGCCTTGATCAGATGCAAAAAACAACTTGGTTCTCCATCTATTACAAGTGAAATCTTTTTCGGTTTTGGTGCCCAATGCTGC